TTCGTTCGCCTATGTTGACTTCTTGAATGCTTAAATGGGTATCATCGCTGAATATGAATAATTTCAGAAATACTAGTTATTTAAGCAAAGTAGAAAATTCCGAAACAGTTGAAATCGGGCGCACTAGAAAAACTTAAGTTTACATGTAGAGGAAGCCCGCTCATGCGAAACTACCGAGTGCATAAAGCAACACAGGTAAAATTACTTAGGGAAATAATAATTTTGCAAAGGTTTCGGATACATATGCTTTCCTACTATTTTCAATGTAATATATGGCTATTACCGAACAGCCTTAATTTAGATTATGTATTCTAAGATGTTTTCGCGAAAAAACTGCCAGTTGTTTCTTTTTTTTATGCATCACTTCAATTACGGTAGACTAAGGCAACCACGTTTTCACTTGATATACCCTACCAAGAGATCAAAGGTGTAACATATTCCTTAAGCTCATGTGCGCATATGCCGGTCTGGGATTAATAAATGTAAATGGAATTGTCAGGTACAATTGTAAACGTAGAACCGTTGTGCACGAAGAGTAATTATCTTCCGCCATATTTTTTGTGATTATTTCGAGATTTTGATTACGAAAAAGTACAGATCTTCCCGGACATGCTAATTTAGACTTTACGAATTTTACTGCCTTAAGTCAATTGTGCATAAATAGTTTACATTTTCAAAAGAAGATAAAGCTTAAAGGTATTTACCTAAATAACGAGCCTTGCACATTTTTTCTTATGCAGCTGTCCGTTTGCGTCATGGTTTCACAACCAGTCAAACGTGTCAACACATTGCGGAGAAAAATGAAGGCCCGCAACAAAAGTCACTAATGAATATGCCTAAGATTTAAAAAAAAAATTTTGAAATGTAACCTCTAAAAATAGAGGTTTAGTTATATATTTTGGCGTCACATATCTACGTACTTTTTTACGATTCATTCAAGATCAGAATGCGGAAGCTTTGCCAGTAGCTTGAATTTCCTAAAATGTATAAACCCATCCTCTGTAATAAATGAAGGAGACTACATTTCTATTTAAATCGGCACAAATTTAACTATATTGTATTAAACGTAGGTTCAGTTCTACAATATCCAAATGCAGAGCAGGGTGACAATAATAGCAACGACCATATTTGAGGAAACTGTTTCACAATGTACAATCAATTTAGTTACTGCATATCAATAAAGTCCTCATTCACCGGATTTCGCCCATTTCCGCGTCCATTTTCTCCCAGTATACTGATATGAACGGAATTAAATTCTACTAAACAACATCCTGCGCCAAGTAACTAACTAAATAACATTACATGTTTGTTTAATCCCCCCTATCCCTAACCATCATTATACATGTAATCTGCTATAACTTTGGGAGACAAAAACTGAGTATATGTTGACGTTCATGAGAGAGACAGAGGGTGAGTGCTGTTGAAGTGTAGTAGTGATTTCGTGTTTGCGGCTTTTCCGAATACTGTGATTTGCAGTTGTCCAGTTGAACAACGGCGCATCAGGGCATCAAGTAAGAGTATTCGGTTATTTATTTCCGCTCTTATCGCGAATTGGAATTCTGAATTGACTTTCAAGTTTGGGGTTTTTCTATGTTTGTCAGAATAATGTATACTAATTGGCACTTGCTTGGCAAACAAAGGTTGCCTTCCTTGTTTTTTTTCGCTGCCTGCTCCCTGCTCAAAACATGAGTCAGAAAATGGTACATATTTGGCAAAACAAGTAGCTGAGGATCTATGATTTTCCCGAAAGTTGTTAACCTTCCTTATAATTGGTCGCCCTCGATGCCGTCAGTCCCTAATTGATAACACTGCCAAGATGTGCTTTTCCATCACAACGCTTCATTGTCTGGCACGAAATGTGGTTTACGACCTACGCTATTGGTGGATGTTATCTTTATGTCGCCATACTGGGTATAAATTGCCTTTACGCAATATCAAGAATAAAAAAACATGCTGAATACTTTTGAAATGTAGACGATAACTTGTGAATAGTTGTTTTACACCATACTGCCTTACAAGGCATTCAGCCTATTAATAAACCTGTTTTCATCTATGTCAGTCCAAACTGTCATGTTTATAAATGGATAAAATGAAATGCCTATGATAATTGATATGTTGGTGCTTTTTATGTGACAGTTCAACAGTTGGTTCACCCGCAAGAATGTGGTCGACGTTCAACATATCACATACAAGAGGCACGCTTGCAAAACAAGAAGACAGAAGCCTACCCAAACAGCTGGCCCTGGCATGTAAGTCCTTGGAAGAGGTTAATGTTATTTTTGAAATTTTGATATTCTGCAATGCGCATTGGATCAGAAACAAATTAGGGCCTTAGTATTTAAATGAGAATTGTTTAACAAATTGTATTTCAAACAAACTCGGATGATAACGTTTGAACAAGCGCGTCCCCAGTTACCTTCAATTTTGTATGCTACAGCACATGACTAGTGAAACGTTATAGCATTTTCCGCTCAACTCTGAATAACCTTTACATTTCAAATAAAGTTTTGTTAACGCATGTACAAAAGTATTATTTTTTATACACGTTAAGTAGCAAATGGCGCCTTATGCAAACTCTATATACACCGCAATTATGTCCCATGCAGTGAGCTGGTTTCCTATCAAACCCTGTTTTTTAAACTCTTTTATATGTACAGTCGGAAAACATTGGGAATTGTTTTAAGACCAACGCGCTCTCTACATTACAATGTAGGAAAATGTATTGCTTTCCTCAGACGGACATTTTACAAAATGTGATTTCAAAACCTTGAATTTTACGGCAAAAGCCGATTAGGTTCAAGCCTATTCCGTTATTTAATTTTTTTGAAAGACAATTGGAATTTATTTGTAAAGTTCAATATTTGGTAAAGTTGCAGCTGCGCGTCAAACACGCAGGTAACAGAAAAATGATAGACATGTTGCACAATATTCTATGTGTGCTTATTTGTCTTCGAGCGTTCATTTAAACATGTCCACTGTTAAATGAATCGTGGTTTACAAAGGTGGAGGTTGGAAATATTACGCGGATGAATCTAATAAACAAAAAAAGAGTAAAAACCTGATAATCTTTGATTGCAAGCATTTAACGGGCTACTGTAAAAATTAAAATTTTCAATATTTGATGGGATGTTATTGACGTAAAAGTGGGGAATATTGTTAATCAATCGCCGATCAGTTAAAAAGAACCTTCAAAAATGTGCAAAATCAGCCATAAAAGGAAAATCAAATTAAGTATAAAATGTAAATACGTTTTTGAGGCATAACAGTGCCCCATAAAAGGCTTAAATTCTGCAAAGAAAAATCACACTCATGGGGTAAAAATATAAACTGTTGCTCAGCTGAGCTCCCTTTCATAAAAGCACTTCCTTTAAAAATATGTGTCGATGATTGAACAAAATTGGTTAAGACTTTCCTTAGCGGTCGCTGCGTACATTTTATGCAACAGAGACGTTCAAAGTGAAATGGAGACCTTCGGCCGGTTTTAATTATTTAGATTAGGCATTGGTAGCAATTGAATTGTTTCAATTAAAAAAAGCTCACCCTTATCCCCCAAAATTATAATAAAAAAAGGTTTATTTGTAATGAACCTCTTGGGCAGCGTCAATACGCTTGAAAAACAGTTAAAGAACTTAAATGAAGACCTTTCTTTTCAACTCAGATATTGGTTCTGTTTTAGATGTATGCTTACTCAATGTTGTGCATGGTGGGGATTTGTTCTGGATGAAAAGAATGCACAAAAATGTAAAAACATAAATTTTGGAAAATAATATTAATTTGGTATGCGTGTTAGAGGTTTTAAAGAAAAAATCTTTGAGGTGTGGAAACAGTCTATCATTTGCGGATTTGTTATTTGATCCTTCTGCAGATGTCTATTCGGCCGCGGTCAGTTCACACAGTAAACTTTTCCAATTGGACTGCAATAAGGCAAGATTCCAGTGTGAAATTCGACGCTCTCTCTGCCTAGCAGTATTGTAAATTGCTAAATGTCAGCAACGTTATTTGAGGGCACTTCGGAAAACTAACAAGTATTTGCAAAATATATTCGTTCATTACCGAATACCGAAGACGCCAAACTAAACTGCGACGAGCGATGGTTTGTTTTTATTGAAGTAGAATATATCCTAGCGTGGAAAATTTCTTAGATATCTGGCAATTTATCATTTTGCCAAAACTGTGGTTGTACAGGACCATTAAGTCTCAACCCCAACCAATGAACGAAAAGAAAATGATCGAGAGTAGTTTTAACTACCAACTCCAAATTACGTTCCAACTTTAAATTGGAATATTTATATTGTATTATCAAATGTTAATCGCGTATAAAAAGTAAAAGATCTAAGGGAACTTTGATCAGGTATTCTTTCAGCAAACATACATGTAAGAAACTGTGTTCCAGGAAGCTTTATATTTTGAAATTAAGATTCATGGGTAAGTCTTAATTTGTATGTTGCCTATTGAAACCACTTGTTTTGCTGATCAGAAAAAACTCCATTTCGTCTCCAAAGAACAAAAACTAAGGGGTGGTTCTAGGAAAATAATGTCAAATTTCGCTATTATCCTGCCTACTTTCCAATTATCCGATTTAAAATCCAGCGGATGCCATTGCGTTTACTTTGGGACGTTGTGAATGTCAAATCCGGTCAACACATCACTGATTAAGCCAAACCTATGCTTAACTACAAACTAGTCCGATTTTGCTTATGACTTTAAATGATAGGAACCGTGTTGTTTTAATTTTGCATAGGTTGGAGTCTACAGTTCAGCCATAGGTCCCTCTCCGTTTTGTGGAGAAACACTGATTGCGTCCAAATGGGTGCTAACGGCCGCTCACTGCATCCTTGCTGCCCTTGAATGCAACGATGCCCCAGTTGGTCGGCTCTTCTCCTATCATGATATCACTGGAGAACACATGGCGGTAACTGTCGCAGACCATAACTACACGCAGCGTCAGCGTCCAGCCTACAACGTGCGAGTGGAAGGTGTAATTATGCATCCCTCCTTCACCAAACAAATTTCAAACCGTGCCTTTGACATCGCACTCCTGCAACTGAACCACGAAGTCAAACGAAGTACGTCTAAGCACTACTTTGCGCGTAACCTGCATTCAAATGTGTTAATATATTTTATTTTCCTCTTAAAATCTAATAAAGGGGTTGTGTGCCACCGTATGTAATGTTCTTCGTCTGACATCGTGTTCCCTTCTAAGCGAACATAAGCTTTGTGAGGAGGGCTTGGTAGGTGGGAATAAATGGTTGTGTCAGTTTAATGTACCAGTCAAGGGCCAACTGTCATTTGTTCTCATTTGTTCGGCCTATCTTCCTTGCTTTTTTAAAGGATAAATATGATTAATGCCTTGTGATTTGTTATATACCATATACAGCTTTTCCTCACGTTTGGCTGCAAGAAGATGCTCATGCAGCCTAGTGCCAACGCGTTTGCTGATTCACCAACATACAATGCAACACAGTTTTGTAATGGTATGCTGTAGACCCCGCCTGATTGTTCTGTTAAAAGTAGCAGGTCTTTGGAACTTATGATTTGCTACCTGAAGGTTGACGCTGGCTTATGAGCGACAGCAATTTCGAATGGTTTCGGGATCCCTGCTGTCGCCTCTGTCACCTTTTTGATATGCGAAAGTATGATTTCGGATAACCAATATCCCAATATTTAACCTCCTCTCTATTTTACTGCCGTCACTGGAGTGCGTAGGAGCGCATTAGGAGAGGCTTCTTACATAACTGCATTATTAAGTGACAGGGTGGTTGCTTCTGATCTGGAGATGCGCTTAGGGTTCGCCGCTTTACGGGATACCGTTGTTGGCTTGAAATGATGTATGTGTTTGAAAATATTATCAAGTATAGTGCGGATGGTAAATATTGTACGGCCTAAGCGTAAGATATATTCTTATAATGCCGGGTAACAAAACAAGGCAAGTAATTTTCGTGGATGTTTAATTATGAAGGGCTAACATGCTTCACAATCAAATAATGCAAGTGTTTCATTAAGACAATTCAGTTAACAGCAGACTCTCATGGGTTTGGTATTATGATAATGCATTCACTTTACTATCTTTAATTTGAAGCATCGGTAGCAGAATATGCCTGCCTTCCTGAACCTTGGCTTAATCTTCCTGCTGGGTATTTTTGCAAATTTGCTGGCTGGGGACGGAAACCTCATCCACCTCATGAGTCACAATCAGATTATCCGGAGACACTGATGGAGTTACGAACTCAAATCGTGTCAACCTCTCACTGCAACAGCGAGATTGTTGGTTTTGACGATATTGATGCAGTTTTTACGGACCAGGCGCAAGGGGTAAGAATTGACAGTGAATGCTGTACTTTGCAAATTTAAAACCAGAACCGTGCATTCCTTTCCTGTTTCCTATTTTTCTTATGTTTTATATCTATTTTTGCAGTCTCCCTATACTGGTGATAGCGGTGGGGGACTGCACTGTTTAACCCCAGACGAATCCAAATGGGTTATCTATGGCGTACTTTCTACCGGTACCCCCGACTGCACGGATGGAGTCGACGTATACGCCTTGACATCGACGAAACTCAGCTGGATTAACGGAGTAATGACTGCACATTCCTAAAGAAATTGACAGAAATTGAACGCCAACTACTCTTTCGGAGAAGGCTTCGATTGTATGAACAGTTTGTATTAACTGCCGGTAGTGAGACCACCAACGAAGTGCAAACATTTATTCAAATAATATTCGTAAAATGACTAATCTGAACTCTTCCTGTGTTTGCTGATTGAAGTGGTATGCTGTGCAAGTGTACGGTAATGAAAACGTAAAAAAAATGAAATGATAAACATGTTGTCTGTTGTATTATATTCAAAAATGTGCCATTTAAACGTAATTTGCTAACGCATGCCATTAGCATTTTATGCAAAGGGAAACTGGTGAAAAAAACGCTTTTTCCACGTTTCGACACTTTGCCTACACTAAGAAGTGCACACTTATCTTTAAAAGTTGGCTTAGAATATTTTAATAATTGTTGAGTTATCTGCGCTCTAGCGCAAAGACGTCTTAACGATTCCTATGCCAATTCTGTACATGTGGGGTGTCTGACACAAGCAAAATGAGTGAGTAAATGCTAGATAACCACTCGCAGATTGGTTACGAAACGCCTTCGATCCGTTCGGCCTTGCAATTTAATCCTGAATCCTGCAAACACTCAAACGATAGGTAGAAATTAATGGGGAGGAGGAATATGCCGGAAAGGACATACAAGGCTGGATGCATCATAATCAGCCAATAAAACCCAGCCCCAAACTCCAAGGCGCCAAAGCTATGATGAAGTGATTTAAAACGGTGTACGGTCA